TTTTAAAATTATGACTTCCATAACTATGAGAAAAAAATAGTGTTGCATTTGTGGTGACTTATTACAGCAACAATGTCAAACTAATTCAAATAGTTGCCAATTATAGAGATTATCTTCAGTCTGTCATTCTGTATTATAGCTTTCTATCAGAGTAAACATTTGACTTGGATTGAATGTATTCTCAGACCCACCAGCATGCCTAGAATTCAAGGCAGCAAAGAGATTGATATCTCTGCTGAGAAATTAGTAGAAATGAACCAATTTAAAATTTTCTTTGTGCACATGGTTTTATTTCCAAAATGGCAACATTTTACTTTTTCACTATTTAATGATAGCAGAATATTTATTTCACATATTTAGTGATGTCACAGAATATTTATTCTTCGCATATTTAGTGATGTCAGAGTATTATCCAAATCCATCTTATCATCAGAGAAATACAGTCATATCTGTTAATCTTACATTTCTTATTTTTAGATGTAACGTGTCACTTGTAGCATGAAAAAATACATATTTAATACACTGATATTTAGAGAAACTCCCCTATTTCTTCAATATTCTGTAAAATAAGTTACCTCAAAGAAGAAAGCCCAATTCAGTTAGAAGATAGAGGTATTCTCCAAGCCACGTGATTATCAAAGAGAAAGTTGGACAGATATGAAATCAGATAAATACAAAGAACCCTGTAGAATGAAAATGTCTGGCTGCTAAGGCATACACAGGAAAAAAAAAAAAGAGGGATAAAAAAAGCTAAAAAGAGGGATATCAATAGAATTGTCTTCAAAGGGAAATATTTTCTCCAATTTTTGTTTTCTGGAAATAGTCATTACTTGAAAATAATGAAACCTGTATATGATTTTCTGAATTAAGTATCCTAAACAAATTTATAATTAGGATATAAAATCACTAAAATCAAAGATTCTAGACATTATGATAGGGTTGGTAGGAAAAAAGAAAATCACCTCAAAAGAACTGGAATGCATTGGAATTGAATCGTTACATGCTGAATAACTTAGAACAAGGACATGTTTATCTCTTGCACTTTTCTCCAAGTGGCAAATCAAACACCGTAATTTTCCACTCTCGCCCTTTATCACAATTTAGTGCTGTTGTTTTGAAAACATAAACTCCTGAGCTCTGGTTCACCCACCACTCACATGTGACAGACAGAGCTTTGGTTCCCTTCCCATGCTCACTGTGCCACCCTTCTGTGCACCTGAGAGGCCATGTGCCAGGTATCCTAGTAGCTGGCCTGGCTCTGCCCATTCAGGGGCATACAATTTATTCTCATAACCATGATGACAATTTTGTTAAACATGCATATCCAGGTCCTATCCAGGTCCCTGTGTATCTAGTGTGAACTCCTATCCCTCCCCTTATGTTTTTTGTTTTGTTTTAAGAATTTATATTTTAGAGCAGTTTTAAGTTCACAACAAAATTAAGAGAAAAAGTACTGATATTTTCCATATACCTCCCACTCCCACACAGGTATAACCTCCCCCATTACCATCACTCACCAAAGTGGTACATTTGCTACAACCGATGAACCTACATTGACACATAGTAATCACTCAGAGTCCATAGTTTACTTTAGGATTCACTCTCGTACACTCTGTGGGTTTGGACAAATGTATAATGATATATATATCCATCATGATAATATTATACGAAGTGTTTTCGCTGACCTAAAATTCCTCTGTGCTCTGCCTATTCCTCTGTCCCACACCCCGCAACCCCTGACAGGCACTGATCTTTTCACTGTCTCCACAGCTTTGTGTTTTCCAGAATGTCATATTTTAGAATCATATATATAGGTACATAGCCTTTCAGACCAGCTTCTTTCTCTTGGTGATATTCATTTAAGATTTCTCCATGTCTTTTCATAGCTTGATAGCTCATTTCTTTTTAGTGCTGAATAAAATTCCATTTTCTAAATGCAACACAGTTTATTTATCCATTCACCTATTGAAGGACATCTCTGTTGACTCAAAGTTTGGACACTTATGAATAAATCTGGTATAAACTTTCCTTTTCTGTAAGTGGCAATTCTTTCACCTTTCAAGATATGACCATTTCAATATAGATTATGTATGTTTCATTTCTGTCTTCATGCCATTTAGAAATTTCTTTTGAATTTTTCATATATTTAACAAACATTGATTGAGAGTTAATAAGAGTAGTGAAAATATATTTCTTCTGAAGTAAATAATATTAAATGTATTACTGAAAGGTCATTAAAATAATTTTATGGGAATTCCTATTAAAACGTGAATACTCCCTCTTGCACTCAATGTTTTACTTATATTTTCATAGATAAATACATGTTTTATCATATATGAATTACCAATTTTCCCTTTCTATCATGACCAGTTACTCAAAACCTAGCTCTAAGAGATCATATGCAGCCAAAAAAATTAATTTAATTCATTCACAAATGTTGGATATTTAGTTACAATTTGTTATATTCCTTGTAGCTTTCTCTAAGTTAACTTCATGAAAAAAAATTAGAAGCCATTTTCAAACTAAAATCATTTTGAAATAATGCCATATATATACCTAGACAATAATTTAATTCTAACATAAAAAAATGTGTTGGGCTTTCGCTGAGTATGGCTTGAGCCCATAGTTCCCAGAAAGCAAGAACTAGAGTATATAATTTCACCAGTACAGCAAGTATTAAATGACTATAAAACCAAATAAATTGGTCTTAAAAGTATTAAGGAGAGATGTGACATGTGAAGCAAAAAGATAATGTAATGATTATAATTGTTTTGAATGAAGAAAGAAAATAAAGTGGTAGAAGAAACACTAGTATTTTTTTAATGAACCAGTTGCAGACAATTGACTAACACATGCCAGGTCAACATAAAGCTCATTTTCCATTTTCATGAGGAACAGATGGTATGGATGGACATGGAAAGTGGTTTCATAGTGGGAAAAATGGTTTAGTTTGGCAAGTTCATTTCAGAAAATATACTTCAGAGCTAGATATGTGTAGCCATTTTGAGTAATGTTCCCCCACTGATATGGCTGATTAAGGGGTGACCATGGCTACACATGTGGTCTGTAGAAGAGCATAGCATCTAGATGCCTTTCTTTGAGAAGATGCTCTCCCTAACCAGCTGGGTTTGTGGAACAAGTTTCCGAGAATTTTCTTTTAAATTAATTTAGTGGAAGTGTAATAAACAAACAAAAATCATATGATAAATTAGAGATACTTTGCATTGCTTAATGCCTGTAGCATAGTTTATGAAGAACAATTACAGATAAATAAAAGAAGAGGTCAGAGCCAGTGTTTTTTTGAACAAAGATTTTTTTTTGAGAAAAATTAAGAAATAATTTGTTTAAGAATAACCAAATAAAATTTTACCTAAGAGGTTGTATTTTTGACTTGGAAAGAAAATTATTTCATTTCAGGTAGAAATGAGACCGAAGGACAGAAGGCTCAAGTCAAGTTTTTATCTCTCCTTCCAGTAAAAGGTCTAATTTAGAAAAAGTAAAGGAAGCGAACAGCTGGCTGTATCTGTTATGCCAAATAACAGGTTTTGCAAACTGGGGCTACAACAGGAAGTTCCATGGCATAAAGACAAGCTCACGTGTTTGGCTTGGCATCTTCCATTCTAACCAAGAGACCTTTAACGTGAGCACGAGGGTGAGAAAGAACACACCCCAGAAAAATTATAAAACTGGGTGTAAATGAAGACAACAGATGTGGCACCAGAAGATTGGTAAAAGCAAAATAAAATGCTTCTTAGTAATTTACAAGGAAAATAATTATGCAACAAAATGTGTCTTTAGATATAAATAATGACAGAGAGATTATGAGTAATCAACAATTTTAGCATGAAATTTTAACACCGGACATAAATATCACATGAAAATACCAAAATTGTATAGTGTGGAAAATAGGACTTTATAGACTTTTAATAAAATGAATCTTATTCAAAGAATCATATCTAATAATAAAAAAGAAAACATATAATTGTATATATATCTAGAAATCATCTGCCTAGATGAAAAACTAATTCACTTAAGAATAGATATATGGATGATGAAAAGAATTAGGGGGAAATGAAACAAACTGGTAAGAACATTGTAACTCTACCAACTAGACAAGAAGTGCGGAGGGAGGTATGACTTAATAATTTCTTGGTTTGAATTCATATGTAATGAAAGTACTAAGAGAAACTGTTGTTCTGAAACAAAATGTCATGAAAAAGTAAGAAGTAGTTATTTAGACATACACTAAATCTGGAAAGAATGGGAAAATGTGCTCTTGAATTTAATAAAGAAAGGAAATATTTTGCATAGTCAATTTAACAATGACATTAGCAGATAGTGTTACAAAAAAAAGCAGAAAATAAATTATACTGCCTTTTAATGAGAAAACAGTAAATGTATTTATGTAAAAAGTTTGATAACCGTATTATTAAGTTAAACTTTATGAAATTTGTATTTTCATATGTCAAACTTAGGCAAATATCAACAATTCCAAATGCTTCAACAAAATACTTATGGTATGCAAATTAATGAGACAAATAGATCTAAATTTGAAATGGCTCAAATACAAATAAAAGTGTTTGAAAAGAAGTTCTCAAAACAGAGTTGAACTTGCCTGTCCCTGGTCTCTAGGAGGCTGTCCATGTATTTCCTCAAGACACAAAAACACAGCTACTTCACTGTGAGATTCATCCTGTGCTCTAACAGGGAAAGAAAGCATGAAGGATCATACCGGCTTCACATAAATTTTGGCCCAGAAGTAGTACATACATTTCATTGGAGAGAACTAAAAACCCTTTTTTGTGTGCTCAAGAAGAAGAATAAATACATTTTTGGTAATAACCATCGATTTCAGAAAGGCATGTGCGCATATGCGCGCGCACACACACACACACACACACACACTACATTGTTAAAATTATTCTTGGAATGAGTACAGCAGCTTAGCTAATGGGACTCAAGGATCAGACAGCCTGGGTCCAAATTCTAATACTTCCTACCTGTAGCAGAGACAGTGGAGCTCACTTAACATTTCAGCAATTTCTCCATATTTCACAGATGTGGTAAAGTTACAGATGGTCTCGTTCTGGCCCATAGATGCAGGCAGAAGAGCCATCATGAAAATCTTCAGCATGCTTCTCTAATACTGTGGAGGATGAAGGAGATATGTGTTACAAAAGCTGCAGCTACAAGATGGTGGAGCTTCTATCAGCCAGGATCCCTGAGTGACCATGTGGAATAGAGCCACATCACACATCCAGGCCATAAAGGACAGATGGCTTAAAAGATAGATACAATTTTTGAGTATTAAGTTATTTATAATCAAAGGGTTATGTGGCATCACGTAAAACCTAGTATATCTACATGCCGTCATATAACTATCTATATAATAATAATAATAATAATAATAATAAAAAATATCAAATCACAGAGGTGTTATGAAGATAAAATTATTGAATACATATATGACACAGAGGGCATTGCCCTCTTGGAACTAGGTAGGCACTTAATAAATTAATTATTAATAGGCTATTAGAAGTGGAAAAATGTTGATAAGATATCATTAAATCACGTTTTTCATTATCATACATATTAAAAAGATTATTGCAATGTTTAAACCACTTTACTCAGTTATGATTGAAATACAAAAAGTTGTACATTTGTAATATATGCAACTTGATAAGTTCACAGGTAAGTATAAAACCATAAAACCATCACCACAATCTATGTCATGAACATATCTATCTCCTCCAAAAGTTTTCTCCTTTTTTATTATTATTGTCATTTTTTATAAGAACACCTATCATAAGGGTCTACCTTCTTAGCAAAATTTTAGGTAAATAATACAGTATAAGTTTCATGTCATACAATAGATCTCTAAGATTTATTCTACTTGTATAACTGAAACTTTGTACTGTTTGACTAATACCTCACCATTTTCCCCTTGCCCCAGACCCTGGCAACCACCATTCTACTAACTGCTTCAACTAATTTGACTATTTTAGATTCCTCGTATAAATTGTATCATGTAGTAAGTGTGCTTCTATGACTGACTTGTTTCACTTGGGATAATCTCCTCCAGATTTATCCACGGTATTGCAAATGTAAGGATTTCTTTCTGTTTCAAGACAGAATGAATTCCATTGTATTATATACCACAATTTATTTACCCACTTATGCAGTGTTTAAGCTGAAGACCATAGGTAAGCTGGTGTCATGGCTAGGCCTGGAATAAGGTTCTGCAGTAGGATGGTTCCGTTGCCAGGGGCCCCAAGAAGGTGGGTAGGCCTGCTGCTGGAGGCTACAGAGGAGTGTTATCACAATTTAAAAAGCTTTAAATGATTCAAAATTTTATCATAACTTTATGAGGAGGTAACTTCTATTTACCAACAAAAACACAGATACACAAAATACTTAGGTAAGTTGAAAAAAATCAATCATAAACTTAGTAGTTGTAGAAATAGGAGTTAAACTTAAGCATATCACACTTATCTGTCCAACTTGTAAAACATCTTGAAAATTAAACATCTCTGCCTTATATATAACATACAAAACAATAATTTGTTTTATTATAACAATGTTATGCAAATTTATAAAACTTTAAGATTAGTAGATGCAAATAAACCTGCATAATAAACTTATTTCTTAACATAAACTGTACAAAAAACAAACTGTTATATGCATAAGCAAGGCAGAAATTGTGTGAAGTAAAGTTAAAAGAATGGTAAAAAGAACAGAGAAACAAAATTGAAAATGTCAAGTAAAAGCTTCTAAGGAATACCAATAATCATGTTTTGTTTTGTTTTAGGATTATTCATTTGTTTTAATCTGTAGTCAAAGAAAAATGTGATAGAAAAATACCAATGTTGAGACCAAAGTCACAATGATGAAAAATTAAACAGAAAAGTAACTTTTTTATTTTGCTTTCTTCTGAACTTTAGAAGACAATTAGTTGCAAATCAAAAACTGAAGAATAAAAATATAATAAAACACCTAATGACCAGTAATGGCTTTTTAAGTTCCTACATAATTTTAGTAGGTTTTAACATAAATCTTAATGATTATTTAAATGCATAATTTGTTTTTATAAATTAGGAATTAAGAAATGAGAGAAAACCCAATTGCTTTCTTATTTAAATCAGGGATAGGGTGGGAAGACAGATTCTAAAAATACAGGATAATAAACTTGATGTCAATTTTTTTCCAAATTCTGGAATAGAATATTAAATTTCATGATGACTTACATAAGGAGACAGTGATCACAGTAAGAAACATAGCTTACAGAAGCAGCAGCAATAAACATCTAAATTTGCATGCTTTTCTGAAGGATTATATCTGGAAAATGGCAAAAACACAAGGTAACGTGATGACAGCATAGAATATGACAGTATATCATATTAGTTTTGTAAAGTGGATTCGTATTTTCACAGTTACTTGAATCAATCAATTGTAGACTGAGTTGCAAACATAAAAGACTCTTGACCTAGAAGCAGAAGAAATAAATTTAAATTTTTCTCTAGTCTCTCTGATTTTATATATCAATTTCATAAATAAATTACAATGGAAGGAAAAATAACTCAGTACCTTATCTGTAAAACACAAGCAAATGACCTCTTTCATTTCCCTGCTCTCAGGGAAATTGTGCTGGTGGCATAAATTTCCCCTGAAAATCTATTAGTCTATGATTCTATGATTACGGATTTGTTCTTTGATTCTAGGAAAGGTTTTAAATTCACTAGCTGGTCATGAAACATACGAACAGTTATTTCAAGTAAAATATTTTTCCTATACAATTCTCAATGTTGCAACTTAGATGATTCAAACCATTTGAAACAAATTATTAGATATTAAATGTTATATGTCATATTACATCTGAGACTTTTTCTTTCAGTTTTTCTCAAAAATATGTCCAATGGCTCTAAATATTTTAGAAAGCTCATAGGAAAGGAAACTTGTATAAGTTGTTATCTCTCAAATGAATATCAAATACAAATTTGATATTGTAGCAGATATAATAATAAATAAAAATATAATAAAATTTCATGGTTCATTTTAGAAAAATGATTTTCATCTTTTCAGTGTAATATTGACAGTTACTACATGTGAAGGTTAATATAGATTGTGTTAGCTAGCTTATTCACACACATTTCCAATTTTTAGCTAAATACAAGCTTGGTTTATATATTTAATACTTTTACACATTTTTATTGAACATCTCATTATTTGTGATGGGCTCATTGGTGCTGTGGATACAATGAAAGAAGAAAATACAATTGGCCATATTTTAATAAAGATTATGTTCTAGTGGACTGGATATACATTAATTAAAGAACCAGCTAATAAACATAAAAATAAAACTCAGGAAATTTCCAAGAGGAGAGGCATTAATGAGGTAACACTATTTATTAGAGGAAGTTGTTTTAGCAAGAGAGGTCAAGAAAATCAAGTAAATGGTGATTGATCTGAAACCTGCAGGTATTAATTAGGGAGAGGATAGAGGTGAAGTGGAGTTCTGGAAACTATTTCAAGAAGAGGGAACCTCTTGGGCAAATTACCTGATGGAGCTTATAAAGATTTAGAAACTGAGGAAGGTCCTGTGGTTGGATTACAGAAAACCAGCAATGATATTCCATTGTATTATAGCAATAATATGATACAAGGTAAGAATTATATCGATTTTTTTTTCTATTTAAGGAATCACTTCTGAACTTTCTGGGTATGAAACCCAGCAAGGAAAAATCCAATATATGAAATTCTATGGGCAACCTATCTATGCATACTAACTCTTTTAAAAATAAGTATGTACATATTTATTTCAACTCTAGAACCTTTATTTTAAATGCAGATAACTGATAACTGATTATCTTTGAAAAATTTAAGGTATAGTCAAAATTAACATCTCTTTTCTTAAAAAATTTGTCTTATTCAATTGTCCCCTTGGCCCCATGGTCCTCCCCTCTCAAACTTGAAGTTAACTGTCTCATCTTTACATCAGTGCTAAACTGCATAAACACCACACTTTCACTCTCTCTGTTTTTATTTATTTATTTAATTTTATCAAATCCCTTTCACAGATCAACATACTTCAATCTGGATTTTTTTTCTCCATCACTCCACTAATCCTCTTCTTGATAAGGTCTGCAATGACTCCCTTGCAGTTAAATCTGAGAAATATATTTTAGTCCATTTGAACCATTCACCTATTTTGTCCTTTAAAATATCTCACATGGCTTCCACAACCGACGCTATCCTTGTTTACCTCTTACCCACTTGTCTTCTTCCATGTCCATCTCATTGTCCTCTCTCCTCCTCTTTCTTACACTTTAGTTTTGAAAGCCCACAGATTTCTGTAAAAGTCCCACCTTTCTCTCACTCTTATTCTCTGGAAGCGATTTCATCCACCTCCATGACTTCCATATCATGTTTTCTACTGTCAACAGTTATAGTCCAATGACAACAACCTAGTTCAAACCACGGATATTATTTGCCTGGCATGATGGTTAATTTTACGTATTAATTTGACTGGACCACGGAATGCCCAGACACTTGGGTAGATGTTGTTATGGTGTGTCTGTAAGCTTGTTTCTTGATAAAATTAACATTTGGATCAATAGATGGGGTAAAGCATATTGTTCTTCTGAATATGGGTTGGCCTCATCCAATCAACCGAAGACTTGGATAGAGTAAATGGCAGAGTAAGAGGAAACTCTTCCTGCCTGATTGCTTGAGCTTAGATGTTGGTCTTTCTCGGCCTTTGGATTCAGTCTGAAACATCTGCTCTTTTTGGATCTTGAGCCTGGTGGCTTTCAGACTTACACTATCAGCTTTCCTGTTTCTCAGGCCTTAAGACTTGGATTGGAACTACACATTGACTCTCCTGGGCTTCCAGCTTGCCAGCTGCAGGTCTTGGGTCATCTCAGACTGCATAATTGTGTGAACCAATTTCTTATATTAAATTTCTCTCTCTCACCTAAGAAATAATTTTTAATGAGAATTTAATTATATATACATATATATAACATTTTAATATTATACCTTAACCTTGATATAGAGCTCAAAAAATATATAATCCATCCATTAGTATGTACTGTATTCAAGCATCATGTAGTTATATTGGTTGCTTAGTTTTTTTGCCTAGTTAAAATT